GAAAAACAGGAGCCAAAAATAATAACCAACATACAAAGTACGGCTGACTTACAACCACTAACTTTTTTGCTCCCATCACTCCCCACTATTCAGCCCCCCATTTGGGAATTCAAACAACAAGGCTGTCATCACCCCCTTTTCTCCCACAGCCCCCTCCATTTTTCTGCATTTTCTCCGCCCAAAAAATCGATTGCAAAAAAGTTTGTTGTTTTTTTGTTGGCTTGCTGCATACTGCAGTTAAAAGAGGGGTTGAGAAATTGGGCGGGAAAGTTTGGAAATAAGGGAGGCGATAGCAGACAGCTATTTGGTGGTATGTACACTAAGAAAAATACGGATAAATATCAAAAAATGTTCTTATAGAAATAGATTCGGAATTCATATAGTTTGGGTTTATTGTTTTGAAAATTAAAAGATATATGTATTTCATTAAAAATAAATACAATACTGCATAGAAACAATACTACAGAATTAAAAAAACCATATTTAAAGCCTAATAGAAAAATTGGATTGTTAAATATTTCTTTAAAAATATTTTTTCACGTGATGACCTAAAGTTAAGAATACAAAAACTATTAAATCCTTAAATTTAGAAAATTGTACAATTTTATATTAAGAAAGACAAAAAAAATTATTCCGCTGAGTTTTGTCAAATTCTCGAATACCCAATTTTTCCCACAGTGTCTGTGTTTTTCCAACTGCGGCAGCTTCTTCTTGTTTCGTTCTCCTTTTATTTTTTGCATAAAAGAATTTGCGCTTTCTGGTTTTCTTTTATTTTTTTTGGTTTGTTTTGCGTTATTCTTTTTCTTGGTGGTTCCCCTTCTTTTATGCTCCATCTTTTCTGCTTTTCTTTTAGTTTTATTCAAGTATTCTTTTATTTTGCTGTGTGCTCCACAGTATGTGCATATGTATGTGTATAATTGTGTAGTATATATGCATTATGTGTGTACAGACACAGACACAAGGCGTGGCTGGAAGAAGAAGATGATATAGGAGGAAGTGGGTGGCAAAATGGTTGTGGATGCTGCACACAAAACATATGGAGAGGATGTGTTGTATATGTACATTTATGTGAGTGTATGACTTACTGCGCACATAACGGTAAATGTGTGCTTTCTCTCTCTTTAGCCCTGCATCCCCATCTCTGTGCATCGTTGCTCCCCATCTCTTTCTGGCTACAGCTTGTTTTCAAACTTTTTCAAACGAAAACAAAGCTGTGCTGTGTGGGTTTTAATTATTTTCCTTTTTTGTTTGGTGGAACTTTAAAATAGAAAAAGAAGAGGAAAACGAGGAAAATGTTAAATGAGCTTATTAGCCAAAGCTTTTTCTTTGACTTGAATTTAGTTTTTCTTTTTGTAGTCTTAATCTCTACCCATATATTCTAGTTTTCTATCTCTTTTTCCCTTTTATTTCGCATTAAAGTTCGATTCTTGTTGTGGGAGGGGCGACCAGCAAAAGGAAAATGAATAAATGGCTCCCAAACAAGGGGAAATAATGAAACAATATGTAAATTGTAATTGCCTATTTATTTTGTGTTGTATCACAAATCCCTTTAAATTGAATGGCGAGTTTTTATTCGGCTTGAAAACTTTTGGCTTAATAATAATTGCTTATTTATTTTTGCGGACTGCGAAGTATGAAAACAATTATAAAAGTAATAAAACATTGCATTACATTACTCCACTTGAAACTAAGATTGAGTTATTTACTTTTTTTAATGCAAATGTCCTGCTTGGAATACACTTAAATGAATTTAAATTGTAAATTTTGTTTCTGTATTGCTAACTTCTTTTTTTCTTTTTTCTTTCCAGGTAAAACATCTCAACGAACATGTAAAACCAGTAAAAACGTCTCAATGAACATGTAAAACCAGTCAGTGAAAACAAAAGCTAAAATAAATTATACTAAGATTTTTGCGTTTTTTTTTGCGCAGGAAGAAAGGAATACATAAAGGCAGGAAGTAAAAAAAGTAAAGTAAAATATTGAAAATATTTTATAAATTTATAAATATTTTATAAATTCTATACATTTGAATGATGCGGTAAAATGTTTTACGTATATGCATAACGTAGAAGATCATCAATATAGGGGTTTAATTGTGACCACAAAACTGAAGATACTAATAATGCAAAACTAAATATATCTGAATAGAAACAACATTAAAAAAAAAAACAAATGTATAAGGTTTAGAAGTGTAAAATTATTTCTAAGAACAACTTTTAGGCAAGGTCAAAAGGAATACATACATAAGATTAGTTCAGGGTAGAAATAAAAGTGGAAAAACGCGAAAAGCTTCAAGGAAACCCGAAAGGTCAAAGTTTACATAATTGGATGAAGCTTTAATAAGACATATAAATAGAAGGAGGGAAGGCTGAAGCTTATTTGTAAGGTAACAAGGATTTAATTTCAGAAGAGAATAAATAATTAAAAAATAATTATTAAATTAGAATTTATATTGGGTGATAATTAAAAAAAGTATTTAGGATGGAGTATTTAAATGGGGATACAGAAAGATTGATTTTTTGGCGTGTTTCGCATGGGTCGTCATCATTCATGATTGATGATTTCGCTACATCATTGTCTAAGCTTTTCTTGGTTTATTTAAAATGCGAGCTGGACAAAAGCCTTGAATTTGATGTTTCTAAATAAAATAATGGTTTGCTGTGAAGTTTGGCAACGTTGCGCAGCCATCTCTTTCGCGCTCACATTTAATCTCCTATAATATTTAATGAATTAATAAACGGTCCCGTGGTTGCTAGAGTGTGTGTGACGTTGATGCATGAGGTCGCGACGCTGCGTTGGCGTCGACGTCGACAGAAGCAGAGGCAGTGGCAGAGCCGTCGGGTCAAACGCTTCGCACGTTAATCAAAAATCCCATCAAATGCGTTTATTATTATTATACTAATACTATTATTCGCAACAAACAAAATGCAATAAATTGGTTGACGGCAATAAAATATGTTTAAAAAAATTAAATAAATTTGACCAACAAAATTACTGTTGACTAATTTTACACAGTAAGTGTGTGCGCAATATTTTAAAAATATTTTATTAGATTTTGAGATAAGCATATTTTTTATGAATTTTCTTTAAAATTGATTTTTCTTTTTTGGGAGAACAATTTTTTTTCTATTAGAAGAATTCAACCAATTTATATTAGTAGGAGCTTAAACTTAAATTGTAAATCATTTTATATTTGATAAAAGCTTTGAATTTATTCAAGCTCCATTACTTTATTAGTAGTGAAAATGTATACTTGTTGTTATAAAACCATTATCGATATATTTTACAATGAAAAATCTTAACGTCCTTAACGGAATACAATTTAATTCTCATAAAAACACAGACATTCTGAATACTTAAAATCAAGCTAATAAATATTAATAATAAATGCAAGACTGTCTACTGATATTACTGCAGCCATTAAGCAATACGTATAAATGTTAATATTTATAAGCTTATTATCTGTGCTGTTGAATTAATTGATTAGTTATTACAACAATTATTGCAACTTTAAATTGCAGAAAATAAAACACTTATGTTTACTGTACGCTTTTCGATTTGAAATAAAAAAAAATTAATACAGATATCAGTACTCAGATATACAGATATCAGGCAGCGCCTTGAAAAAGAAAATTGTATTTGGATTTTAAATCCGTCTAAATTGTGTAGAGTTTATGGTTGAAGTAAACCTAACTAAACTTTTGAAAAGAGCCAAATAAAATAATTTCAGGTATACCTAATATTTAAGTTTTCACCGTATGGAATAAAAGAAGGCAACAACAAAATGTTAGGCCGCTGCCACTACCTCTGCCGGCGTCGAGTTGCCTCTGCCGGCGCGGTTGCGGTTGCGGTTCGCTTACAACATGTTGAGCGGCGGCTCGAATCGAACTTGTTTGAAACACACACGCGACGAACAAGTTCGATACGTCAGCACATGGCGCGTCACGAAAACGACAGAGATGGCAACTTTGTTCGCCCCATACACTTCTCTCTGTCTCTCTCGCTCGCACAGGTTCGAAACCGGCCGGGGTTCGTGTCCCCAATAACAAAAATAATAATAATAAAGCCCACTAAATCAACCGTTAGATCGGGCCCCGCTTATATCCCACTTATAAATGTATTTATATAGTATATATGTATTTTTATAAAGCATATAGCAGCGTGGAGCCACATTATGCAGATATGCTAAATTATATGATGCGATCATCCGATTATCTTAGATTGCCGCGAAAACGGGGTCAAGCCGCAGTTGGTTCCATTTATTTCAGTTTTTCTCGCTTCTCTGTGTAAATGGAATTGCAGATCGCAGTTTATATTAAGGGGGGATTGGATTGGTGGCTAGTCCAAATCCCAGAACGTGCATTACACGATTAGCGAATAAGTAAGACTATCTGAGATCTGAATAGAACCAGATTTGATTAGGCTCTCCGAGAATTGTAACGGGTCAAGGTGTTGCAAATTTCCATATTTACATTTATTAATTTAAAAAACTGCATTTTGTTGTGATACAAATATTACGATATAGTTCTTTAGATCAAGAGGGTAAATTATTTAATTTTTAGCTATTACAGGGGTCCAATAAGTCAAATAATAATTTTATAAACAGGTCTCACATGCACTAAAATTAAAATTAGTTATAAAATTAATATGTCAAGCCTAAAGTTCAGACAAACACAACTTAAACTCACTTTTTCAGATCTCTAGGTTCTTATGATAAACCTATGTAAAAAAAATAATAGCCGAAAGCCTGTAAAATATAAAAACATGAAAAATATCCTTTTCTCTGACCAATAAAAGCATTAAAGTAGATTAAGGGATTATTTAATATATTGACATTTTATGCTTACTTTGTTTAGGAAAGTTGAGGTCATTAATCAAGCATTTAATGCACTTTTGAGCAAAGCACTGAATTTGTTAGCAAGCCAACTTGAAATATCCTTCTGCCAATTTAGCCATTAATTTAATAATCTGCTTGTGTTCCTCTCCTTTCGCCCCCACTGGTCGTACAGGTCCCTCGAGTTGCCGCAGTATGCCAAGCAGCTACAGCAGCAGCACCAGTCGCACCACCAGCAGCAGCAGCAGCAGGACCAGCGCACCACTCTGCATCCGCAGATCCACCATCACCACCAACAGCAGCAGCAGCAGCAGATGCAACAGCAGCAACAACAGCAGCAGCAGCAGCAACAGCAGCAATCCTCGAGAGCGGCGGCCAGTCCTTTGTCACCACCTCGTCCTGGAAATCCTGGTAGCGGCAACAGCAGTGGCGGTAGCAACAGCAGTAGTGCCGCAGCGGCAGCAGCAGCAGCGGCAGCGGCGGCGGCGGCCGTCAACACCGGTTACCCGCCACCGCCCCCGCAGCATCGTTTTATCCAGAACACGGGCTACAGCATTGGCTCGGCGCCCACCTACCGCGAGAATCCCTACTCGCGTCACACCCAAATTCAGCAGCAGCAGCAGCAACAGCAGCAGGCAGCAGTTTCAATGCCCGAATATCAGAGAGCTCGAGCGGCAGCGGTTTCGGCGGGAAAGGGCAGCCAAAGTTCCAACAGCAGCGGTGGAGAAGGAAGAGTGGGAGGAGGTGGAGGAGGAGGAGGAAGTGCCGGTGGATCAGCTCCACCCGGCGGCGGTGTCGTCCAGGTGTCGCAATCCGGCGGAGTTCTGGTCATGGAGGCTATGCCCCATTATGCCAGCCAACCAAATAGTAATCCCTCCCAGCAGCAACAGCAGCAGCAGCAGCAACAACAAGGCGGTCCCAGTGCTGCAGGAGCAACATCTGCTGCTGGCGGCGGCGGTGGCAGCATAATGGTCGGAAATCGCATCCTGATGCCCCATCCACAGGCTCTCCAATACACCAGTGAGTACCTGACCAATGCCACAGCGGTGGCCGTTGCTGCGGTCAACCAGCGACAGCAATTGCAGCTCCAGCAGCAGCAGCAACAGCAACAGCAGCAGCAGCAGCAACAGCAGCAACAGCAGCAGCAGCAGCAACATCCGCCCGAGCCATTTGGCGGCCAGCAGCCGTACAAGAAGCAACGGCTGAGCGATGCCAATGCCAGCAACATGAATCACCTGCCACCTCACCCGCAGCAACAGCAGCAGCAGCAACATCAGGCACACCAGCAACACCAGCGATCCTCGCCAGCCCAAGTGCAACAGCAACAGCAGCAGCAGCAGATGAACAGCAGTCGGCAGAGTCACAATGACATGTGCCGACAAGTGGTCACCACGCCAATGGGCATGCAACTCAAGGTGGAGACGCTGCCGCAGCAACAGCAGCAACAGATGCAGCAACAGCAACATGCCTCACAATCCCAGAACCGATCCCAACCAGCGGTAAGCAGCATGCCCTCTGGAGTGAGTTTGTCTGTTGGCACTGTCACCGTTTCCACGGCGGGATCGACAGCCAGTCACAGCGGCAGCAGCAATGTTGCCGCTGGAACGGGCTCGGGAAATATGGGATCTGCCAGCACAGAGGCCTACCATCCTCAGGTGAGTCCTATCCTTTGAAATTAGAGACCTAGGAAGAGTCCTGCTTGTTATTTGGAAGTAATTAAATTACAAACTTTGGTCACATTTACATTTTTGCACTTTAATAGTGATTTTAATATAAATGCCCAACACGCAAAATATATAAGATTATTCTTCGCGTCATATCCAGTTCAAATCACATTTTTAGCCTAATTAAAACAGAAAAAGTCCTTTACATTAAATAAATCATTTAACACACTTTACAGATATTTTTCTTTTAAATATTTAGCCTTAGTAAAGAATTGTTTCACATTTCATGAAATTCTATTCCCTGAAAAAAGTCATTGAAAAGTGCAAGTCGGAATGCCCTAAACAATTAGGGTTGGGCAACTCTCAAGAATTGTGGAGTCTACTATTTTTTTTTTGACATAAGGCTCAACCCCTTTTTTACCTAATGAGTTTAGTTTAAAGTGAAAATCTTGTGTGAACATTTGATCAAAGCAGAGCTCTTCCCATGTCAGCACGTAAATCCATACTTAACGACATTTTCAATTCCCACCAGGTGGAGGCCATCTCGCCCACGTTGCCCAGCGATAGTTCGATCGAGGAACGTGGAAGGACCAGCGCCAAGGAGGACCTGCTTATGCAGATCCAAAAGGTGGACAATGAGATCAAGTCCGCTGAGACGACGATGGAAACGCTGCGCAAGAAGGAGAAGTCGCTGATGGAGGAGGCCGCCGTGGCCAAGGAGCAGAAGGCGGCCAAGGAGATGAACGACAACAACAACGATCAGGAGGAGGAGGAGGTGGTGGAGCTGGCCTGGCGCAGTCAAATGCTGGCCAAAAAGATCTACGCGGCCAATCGGAAGACGGCCCATGCGCAACATTCCATGCTGCAGGGTGCAGCAGCCGAGGAATCCTCTGCGGGATCCGTAGCCGGCCGACCCTGGCTGCCACTGTATAACCAGCCCCTCGATGTGGAGGCCCTGACCCTGCTGATACGCCAGCATCAGAGTCAGGTGCGGGCCCCATTGCTACTGCACATTCGGAAACTGAAGGCCGAGCGCTGGTTGCACAATCAGGGTATGGTCGAGAAGTACACCAAGGAGCAGGCGGATTGGCAGCGGCGATGCGAACGAATGGAGGGCAGTGCGAAGAGAAAAGCACGCGAGGCCAAGAATCGTGAGTTCTTCGAGAAGGTCTTCACGGAGCTGAGGAAACAGCGCGAGGATAAGGAGCGCTTCAATCGCGTTGGCTCGCGTATTAAATCCGAAGCGGATCTGGAGGAGATCATGGATGGACTGCAGGAGCAGGCACTCGAGGATAAGAAGATGCGATCCTATGCGGTTATACCGCCTCTGATGCACGATGCCCGCCAGAGGCGATGCGCGTATCACAACGAAAATGGACGCATCGAGGATATGGTGGCGGTGCATCAGCAGCGTAAGGCACTCAACATGTGGACCGCCGGCGAGAAGGAGACGTTCAAGGAGAAGTATTTGCAACATCCGAAGAACTTTGGGGCCATAGCGGCCAGTTTGGATCGCAAATCGCCTCAGGACTGCGTTCGCTACTACTACCTCAGCAAGAAGACCGAGAATTACAAGCAGCTACTACGGAAATCCCGCCAGCGGACGCGCAGTTCGCGCAATCCTGCAAAGGCACCGGCCCCCCAGCCGCAGTGCATCATCGATTCGATGACGACGGGCGTAATGACGCGCCTGCAGCGTGAGCAGCAGCAAAAGTCCGGCAATCGTTCGTCCGCCGTTGCCGAACGTGAACGGGCGGAACGTGCGGCCGAGCGAGAACGTGTGGCGGAGAAAGCTGCGGCGGATGCGGCCAAAGCGGCTGAAAGTGCCGCCGAGAAGGCGAGTGCGGCCACAAAAGCCGTCGAGGCGACGGCCGCCGGTGAGAAGGTGGCCAAAGCGGCTGCAGCAGCTGCGGCGGCAGCAGCCACAACAGCAACAACAACAACAGGGGCAAGTCCAGCGACATCAGCAGCGGATAAGGCGGAAGCAGCAGCAGCAGGCAAGACGGCAAATGTCAGCGAAAAGAATGCGGCGACAGCCGGTGGTGGAGCCACAACAGCAGGAACACCGGCAGCAGCAACACCAGCAGCAGCAACAGCACCACCAGAGATCTCAGCGGGCGGCGGCGAGGCGAAGAGCAAAACCGCCGACGAGGAGGCGGCAGCAACAGCCGGAGCAGCCACCGTGGCCACAGCCGGCACACCGGCAACTGGAGCAAGTGCTGCCAGTGCGGGCGAGGCAACAACGGCAACGGGAGCCACGGCGACGGCGGCCGCAAAGGGAGCTGGCAAACCAGAAACTGCGACCGAGCCAGCGGGAACTGCTGCCAAAGGAGCGGATTCCCGGGCGGACACCAACGATCCGCTGGCCAAAACTGGTACCAAAGCTATCAATGCTGAGGGCTATAATGGTGGGTTTAGTTTGATGTTGAGGGAAATTAATTATTCCATAAAGAATATGCCCAAATCTTTGTTAAAAAGCCATCGATTTGTAGTAGTTATTCAATGGCATCTTGAATATTTATTCCTTGTTCCATTTTAAAACGCAATATGAACTTTAAATCTTTTCAAATTGTAAGGCAAGTTCAATTCGATAGAATAATTCGTTAAATTTTGCCAAATTAGACATTGTTTTAAAAGAAAATCTGTTATAAAGCTTGATTTGTAGTAATTACCAATGTTATATTATTAATGGCATATAATTTTCTTGTTCAATGTTAAAGGGTATTGAATATGTATGCATCGTTATGCCAAGTAGTTGAATCTCGTTTAAAATGTTGATTAATTGTAATTATTCATTGGGATATTAGCAATGGAATATTTATTTCTCTTTCTATTTGAAAAAAAGTGTGAACTTTATACTAAAACTTTAATATTTTGTAGCCAATGGTGGAAGCACCACCAGCAATGCCACAGCCGCCGCTGCAGCGCCACAGGGCGTAACCTTGAATGGCTTTAAGCCGGGCTACCAGACCGTGGTCATGGCCAATGCGAAGGCGACTCCGGGGAGCGATGAATCTGCGTCCGGCGGAGCAGCACCTGGATCTGGAGCAGTGACGAATGCGGCGGGGACGACGGGTGGCGATAAGATCGTCAAGACAACGCCGTCATCAAGGGCACCCAATTCAACATCTTCAACGGCAGCGGGTGAGAGTGGTGCTGGTGTGGCCACTTTCCCACATACCGCCACCACAGCGGGCAACTATCTTGGCCAGAAACTGAAGGCAGCCCAGGTCGAGGGATTGGGAGCTGGCAATGATCTCCACTCGGATGTTAGGTGAGCATTTGTCGCGGATTAACAAATCCGATTGTGATATAATCTAAAGCACAAGAACATTTGGTTGCATTGGAAAATATTATAAAGACATTTCTTAATTTCATACTTTTATGAACTGTTAATAATAATAAATACAATTTCATGATTTTTAGCTGTCTAAAAAAAATTTAAGATCTGAATTGATATGTTTTAAAACTACTTCTTGTGCTTTGAGTCGTGTCACATATATTTACTAGAGATAATAACTAACTATTGCTATCTCCCTCGATTTTGCAGTGAATCCAAGAGGAAGCGCTTCGAACTGAATTCTGGTGAGGCGACAGGTAATGCAACATCGGCCAACAACAATAGCAACACCAGCGGCAATAGCAACATCAACATCAACATCAGCAACAGCCACAACATGAAGGCGAATGCCAAGGATAATTCGATGGCCAAGACATCGCTGCCATCGGGTTCGTCAGCTTCGGTGGTCACATCCACGGCGGCAGCGTCCGCATCATCATCATCATCCGGCTCCATGCTGCTGATCAGTGCCGCCTCCATTATGTCCACCGCATCGGGAGCCACATCCTCGAGCACGGCGACCACCACGGCAACGGCTCCGGCTTCGGCGATCTCTATGTCCCAACTGGCGGACGGGAGTGCCAACTCGATGGTCAACGCCTCCGACATCCTCGTCCACGATGGCAAAGGTAAGTGCCGAAATTACTATTATTATGGAAGGGATGTCGTTAATTATTGTCACGTTATATTCAATCTTTCATCGAACCAGTAATACGCCTAAATTTGATAATGGTTTTTAATAGGATTTCATGAAACTCGTAAGGTTTTTATATTTAGATTGGAATCGTAAAGCGTTAAATAAGATTTTTAAATTAACCTTGGAGACAGTGAATAACAGTTTTACTGACTTAATTATTTTAGATTTTTTAGTTTCTTTCTGGGATTAATGTTTTTAAGATCAGTCAGATTGCACATTATATATATTGCATTTTGGAAAATTATATGTTGCATTTAAAGAAAGAAAAGTGTTATTTAGGAAGCATTAGTTTTTTTTTAATTACTTGATATTTTTTTTGAATTAGTTTGCCTTTTATAAAGTGTTACAAGCTTTTTAAATGAATTAAATTAAGCTTTTATCGTGTGCATAAACCATAGCTTTAACTGTAAATTGGTGAAGATACCGGCAGGACCTTAAAAGCTTTTTGACGTTTCAAGTTTTTAGCTTACGAATAAAGCTTTCACGAAACATCCTGATAGCTGGAAAAGCGCTCTGTTAACCTGTTGAAGCTTTTAAGCATACATTTTTTAAAATTTTTATCACAACTTTACAGTGCTATGTTAATGTCCTTTTTCTCCTCTCTTCTCTCTTAATGGAGCTTATCAAAAATGCATTTCCCGCCATTGACAACTGCAATGTGGTGCAGTCTCTTTTGTGCCGTTTAATGAAACCAACCATCCACCCACACACCCACCCCACCACCTCGCCACCCCCTCAATCTAATCAAAACTGTTTCTCTATCTCCGTTTCTTTGGTTTCTGTTTGCGCTGCTGCCTCCGCCAGCGTTTTCGATTAATATTTCATCAAAAAAAAATAAATAAATAAAACACTGACTGAGCTCGCGCTATATGGCCTCAAGACAAGTCGTCGAGTCCAGGGCATATAAAAAAGAAAGAGTTGACAGAGATGAAGGGCAAAACAGCCAGAGGGGGAAGGAGGTGGAAAAAAGAGTGGCTCAATTGGTGGTTCACTGGTTGTTTTTTTGATGCTTACTTCCCGTGAGACGACTCTCTTCCCAATTTTTTTCCATTTTCTGCGGCTCAGCTCAACGTTTTTTGGCCGCTTGCGGTTTTGTTTGCACCACCGCCCACCAGAAACCAACCATCAGTCTCACCCACTGCCACCCATCACCCACCACCCACTTGAGCCAACCACCACCCACCACTAACACCCACTCCCCTTCATCATCTTCGCTTCGCTCGGCCTTGTTGGCTGTCATCTCCCTGGCGAGTTAATTAAACTCAATTAAATTAAAGTCTTTTTTGTAAACGTCTTTTTTATTATGCAAGTGATTTAATTTAATTATTAAATTGCGGCAAGGATTGTTTACCTTTGTAGTACCCTTCCCGCTTTTCCGCAGTCCGCATTTCAATCTCCGTTTTAAGGGTCGAAAAAAGTGGATCAAGTTGTGGAACAATTGGCGATGTCGTTAAGCTGGAATGGAATTCGATTCTCGATTTACAATGTAGAAATCTGATAAATTATACGATTATAGTGTTTCAAGAGAAATTCTAGAAAAGTTTTGAATATTCCAAGATTGAAATTAAATCAAAGTATATATTTGCGATTTATAAATTCGAGAGATATGGAAAATAGGACAAAACAAAATTAGATTTCGATTTACAATTTGATTTTCTTTTGATTTTTATTATTGTTATTATTAATTGCGGACATTTGTTTATCAATGGTGTTGAATGTATATGCATTTTTTTTATGCGTTGATTTAAATTTTTATTCCACAAATCGAGATTTGAATGGTCCGATTTCTCATCAATTAATTTATCTACACAGATTTATTTATCGCCTTTTAAAAATTGTCGATGGTCAGTTTGATATTTTGTGCACTTAAACTTTCACTTATTTGATTAAAATAATTTCCTTTGATTTTTTAAATACTTTTTATTTTATTGATTTTATTTCTATAGCGACAAAAAAAAAACATTTAGCGTGTGTGTGTGTTGTGATTTTGGTGTATATAAATTCGTAGATTACGTTGCTTTGATTTTAGTGAGTGCCATGACATAAATCTTAGGATTGTTGCTGATGTTGCTGCTGTTGCTGCTGTTGCTGCTGCTGCTGTGGTGTCTGATCCTCGGAAGTTGCAGCTGTTGCCTCGCTTTTCTTGTTGCTGTTGCTGCTGTAGCTGCTGCTGCTGCTGCTGGTGTTGCTGCTGCTGTTGTTGCTCGTGTTGCTCGTGGCAGTCGCCTCGATTTCATCAGCATGGCACATTTTGCGATGCTTGTGCACGAAATAGTAACTGGGAAACTTACTGCCGCACGTTTTGCAGGGATAATATTGCACATTCATGTCGAGGGGACGAACTTCGCGGCGCAACAAAGCCGATGTTGCTCCCGTTGTTGCACTTGCTGTCGCCGTTCCCGTTCCACTTCCTGATCCACCGCCCACCGTGGTTGCCATAGCACTCTGACCCGATGGATTATCCGCTTCTAAGGTGCTGGCTAATGAAGTGGCCGGCTCTGCCAGCAATTTCTTATCCGTCGTGGTCAAACTCAGGGGATTCAAGTGGCGCTTGGCGTGTTTTTGATAGCAATATTGCGATTTAAAGGTGTGCTTGCAATAAACGCATACGTACAGTTCCTGATTGCTGCCGGCTGAAGTCGATGATGATCCGGCTGCATTTGGTTTCCTATTCCCGTTGCCACCGCCGCCTGATGTTGCATTACCCACCGAAGTGGCTGAGGAGTGTGGTTTTCCCGCTGTTGCTTTCGCGGCATCGCCACTATTCTCACTCTCCTCCTGTTGCTGGTGGCTCAACTGCTGTCGCTGCTGACTGCTGATGGCCCTGGCCATTTGCTGGTGAAACGAATAGCTTACACTCTGCTGGCTGCGATGCTGTTCCCCCGATGATCCTCCAGTTCCAGTTGCACTTCCTTCTCCGCCACCGCCACTCAACGATCCCGCGCCATTATTGCCGCCATCCATGTTCTCGGGCTTGTGGCCATAGGCGGTGTTTAGGATCCTTCGAAATCGCACCGGTCCATCGCAACTGGCCACATCGATGATGAATTTCGAGGGTGTTATCGGTGTGGCGGTGGCCATTTCCAATTGGGCAGCCGGCACCGGAGCCTTGGCCACCTGCAATCCACTGGATTTTCTCGATCTGACCGATGTGGTTTTGCTCCTACTACTACTTCCACTTTTTGACAGGGTTTCTCTTTTTGGATTTTGCACTTTAGTCTGAAGACTTTGGGTTGAATGCGACTTGGGAGTGGTCAAAGTGGAAAAAGTAGCAGCAGAAGCAGAAGCAGCAGCAGGTATTGGAGTTGGTGGCTTCACGTCCAAACGCTCGATGTTCAGGCTGCCGGCACTGCTTCCGGCCAGGGAACTCACCACCGACACATTGCAGTCCATGTCCACATCCGGGTCGGGATCGGCTTCGTTGTCCGTCACCGTATTGCTGTCTATGAACACCTCCACATCCTCATCCTCTTCGTTATCCCGAATGTCTGAGGTTTCATCCATTAACGAGTTGGCCCCAAAGGAACTCAGTGATGCAGTTTGGGTCGTCGGAGGAGGGGGATGAGCTGGGTGAGCTGGATGAGGAGGAGGAGCAGCACTTGGCATGGGCAGAAACCCAAAATTCGGCATGGTGGCCTTGCTGGGAATCGGCCGAATGACCTTGGCTGGGATGCTGGCAACTGGACAAAGCTGGGCGGGATTGCCATTTAGGTAACCCTCCGTTTGAGCTCGCGCCAAAAATGAGCTGGAAAATATACATATGTGAACAACATAAATATTTGACAGAATAATGAAATGCCATTTACGATTATTTTGACAAATTAAAACAAAAATAACTATTTCAAGTAGAAGAGATCCCTTTTGAATTTCCATGTTAATTCGAAAAGTATTCATTAAATTGATATGAACTTTGACAGGATATCTTGTATGACTTTTTGCTCTGGGAAACCAATAGATTGCCCCAAGAACCCAAACCCACCGGCAGATTTCCAAAGCCCTTGGCATATGGAGCACATGTGTGGCCAGCAGAACGGCAAAGATATTGTCGACGGTCAGGTCCAGATATCCCGTATACATGTACGTTAGCAGCGGGGCAAACTGATCGGCGGTGACGTTGCTCAGATAGAGTAGCAATTCACCCGTGGCCGTGGTGGCCGATGAATTTGAATTGGTGGAAACCGGCGCCGTTGACTCATCCAATCGGATGGCCGACCTCAGGTAACCACTGTGCATGCCCAGCACCAATGAGTGGGCCACGAAACGCACACTACTGGGTGCGGGTCCCACCTCGAGGATCACATCCGGTGGCGAGCTCATCACCAAAGCGGAGGCACTAATGCCGCCCGCACCCCCACTTCCAGCTCCTCCGATTCCCGATGTGGAGGAGCGTGTTGCCGGCGTGGTGCTGCTGCTGCTGGTGTTCCCAGTCAGCCAATTGGTGAACATGGCACACAAGTGTGCTGTGTGTTCGGTCACAATAACAAACAAACAAACAAAAATGTATGATGGATGGCGCTATTCCGCTGCGAGACGCGCAAGTAAGTACGAGTACGATGTTTGCGAGCGAAAGAAGGAGCACGTCGCGTTTCCAAGGGGAAATCGGCTGGAGAACTGATGGCCGACGGCCGTGCGTTTTCGGTATTTATACTCCCCGGCAGCCAAAGCAACATGCGGCGCTCGTCGTCGTCCTTCGGCCGAGGATTCGTATATCCACTCGTTGCCAGTGCCGACACACTGGCTCTTTTCAAGCACTTGCAATTTGGAGCTTGATTTTTCGAATTTTTTTTGTACTCCTTTTTGGGATTTAAATTAAAAAATAACCAACAGAATATAAAAGTTTCATTATTATAAATTAAATATATTTTTTAACTTTGGATTAATTTTCAAAACTAATAATGTTTTAAAACTATTAAGTAATTCTTGTTTAATATTTTATGTATTAGTAATGGACAATAGCTTTTTGTGGTTAGATTTTGTTAGATGCTGAAAAGGTACTTGGATTCTTAATAAAAAAAACAATGTCATTTTTAAAGTAAAATCTTACAAAATTATTTTACTAAAAGTTTATATAAATTCCTTGAATCATTATTTTTATATAAAATAAAATATATTAGTATGTGCAATCATGAGAAAGTGACAAACGTATTTTAAAATATATTTAGCTACTGTTTTTTGCAACACTGATTTGACTGACTGACTGTTTAATTGGTTTGTGTTGGTGTTGATTTGATTTGCTTTTCAAATGAAAGTTGGTTTTTATTAATTAATTAGCCAATGTGTAGGATCAGTATTCGGCTAGTAGTTCTTGGCTATAGAACTGGCTACATTTGGGCGTCAATTTTGGAGTTCATCCACAATTTTCCTTACTCGCCTTTCCCTGGCCCTTTGCATTTTGACCCGAATGCAGTTTGAAGGACTCAGCTTCGCGGTCCTTTTGAGTCCTTTTCTCCTCTTTTGCATGTGTCATTTGGGCGCTTAACAACTCTTTACCGTTTTCTTGTGTGTGTTACCACCCGAAAATGTTGCCCCAATCGACTTAATTGATTTGTGGGCATAACCAACACTTATTTACACACAGTTCGTATCTGTGTGTGCGTTCTCATGTTGATTTACTGCTTACAAATGCGAGTGTGTGCTTTTGCCTTATCTACCTGTAACTGTGTTATTCGTCTTGTGGTCGGTGTTTTGCAGTTCGAATTCTCAATCAGCTATTAGCGTTTACCCTAGAATACCCTGGAAATAATTGGGGGGATTACCGCAACTACTAGCTATTGAAATTGATAATATTTAATTGGTTGCCCTTAAAATATATTAACAATATTAATATCCTGGCATATTTTATACTTTGTTTTTTTCACCCACTGTATTTTATAGAGTATCTTTTGCTTCGACTCCTTCTAACTACATTTGCGTTGTATTATTTTTCTAAGATTTCCATCAGCATACAAATAGTCGTTGCCGATTTTTTTTTTTTTTGTGTGGCTTATTTGGTCATTTGGTTGGCTTTTAATTACCGTTACTGCTGATCGGTTTATTTGAGCAACCGCACACCCAAACAATTTTCCTGTCCTTCCTGTCATATGAATGTCCTTTTTGTCACCGGAAACACTCCTAAAATACATTGAACCTTTTGAGGGGGACTGATTTTGGTAGGCCGATATGGCAATTGGTCAGTTTGTTGGCATTTTATTATATTATGTCCCTTATTGATGGGCTAATTTAATTAAGTCACTTTTGTAAGGACTCTCTCGCTCTCTCTCAGACACACACACACACGCACACACACACACACACACACTCATTCTGTCCCCGTCTGTCTTGTCCGATTCGATTTAACTTCAATCAAGCGTTAACAATTTTAATTAAATTATTTCCAAATGTAATTATAAATGTGCGTCATGCATAAATTGTGTTATTAATTTATTTACCCACCCACTGACAACAATTGCAATTACACCGAGAGAGAGTCCTGGCTGCAGGACATCTGCAAGGGAAAGGTGAGGGGAGGAGGGGAGGAGGAGGAGGAGGTGGTGGAGCAGCCAACAGACGCTGGCCGAGGCCAACTTTTTGAATAAATAATCACAACGTAGGCAAAAATAAATTTCATAAATTGGCATCAGCGCATCGGCGGCAACAAATGTATGAAAAAAATATGTTTAAAAAAGTGGAAAATTGGAAATGCAGGAGCGCTTTTCTGACGTCGTCAATCTGCCATATTTTAAACGTTGCATTAATCCCCTGTCCTGCATCCACATCTTTATGTATGTGCTATATGCTGTCCAAATTGTCCTTTTTTTTCCGGTTTGTTGTTAAATTTTTTCAATTATTCACATTTTGCCGGAAATCATCGACTTTTCTTATTCTGATCGTGCTTCATTTACCCTGAGATGAATAGTCTGTTGCAGCTGACAGAGTATTCAAATGAGTTTCTGCTGGCAAAAACAAAAAAAATATTTATAATTACGTTTTTAATCGCTTTTTTTTAAAAATAACTAAGTTGACATTTTGGTGTCCTTAGCAGCAATCTTAAATTGTAGATTGATAAATAATAATTAAGAACGTTTTATTAAAATCACTATAATAAAGAAGCCTGATAGCTAATTTATCGGTTTAGATGATGGGTAATCGATGGAAATGTAAATTCCTGTGATAGACTTTTATTTCGATATTTTTGATGACCCACTGTTTTATTGGGTGCACAGTGGAATTGTGTCACTTGCAGTCAGTTGGCATGCAAATCAATTCAATTAATGAAACGTTGGAAAAAGAAACGCAAAGATTCCTGCCCCATCGCTGCGTGTGTGTGTGTGTCACTTTTGCCCCCTCTTTGTGTGGGTTACACTTTGTGCTGATCTTTGCAGTAAGTTGGCAAATTGCCTGACAACCGGAAAACCAAATCGAAGCAGCAACATCAACAGGACAACAGCAGCAGCAACATCACACGCACACACCAATACACACTCACTCACCTGTCAACTGGCTTACACACACACACACATATAGCTTTGTCCATGTTGACAAGCAACTTCTGTTCCGCTCGCCATTTTCCCTCTCGCTCAGCTGCAGCTTATCCCAGTTGGATTTTATTGTTTGCATACACTCTACTTACACATACACGTATGCAGGGGATATCCTGCGACCCACCATCCCCTCCACACCCCCACCCAGCATCCTTTTTCGTCCCGTTTCTGGGGAGCGAGTCAAAAGGGACAAACCTTTTATGACAATTAAAACATAATTGACGGTCAACATTAATAAACCAAACGCACACCGAAAACCAACAGCAGGAAAAAAGACACAACAACAGGCGAAGCAAAGAGCACAAGGCAACAACCAACGGACAGGATATGCAGGATATATGCACTCGCAGAAATGTATGCTATGAAAAATTGGACATTGTCTTTTGGCTCTTAAAAATGAAGAGCATTCAAACCTATAGTTTTTTCTGCGGCACTTTCGGTTAATGGTTTTTGCAACATTATAAATATAATTAAGAGTCATTTAATGGCATTACTACAAACAAATTGTAAGGGCAAAAGCATTTAACAAACGTTAATTTCTGGTATCTTAAAATGTTTTTCTCTTATTTCCATCACAAAAAAGTGATAAAAGAGATTATTGTTAGTCCTATAAATATATAATCATATAGCTTAAACAACAATATATTAAGTCATCTTAAAAGCACTCTTAAGGATTTAAGAAAGTAAAACATTGTTTTTCTCGCTGTGTAGGCTTAAGGGGAAAGAGTCGGTGAGTGAACAATCTGTGCTTTTTTCCTGTTGTGTGGTGTTTATTTACCCCAACAACAACAGCAGCAGCAAAATCGGCAACAAGATTGCAATTGAACTTTCGGCAAAAGGGTGCGATGAAACCGAATAACGCACTAATCCCCAGCCAGGACCCCAGGGAGTATATATTCCGCCCCCAACCTGCCGCCCCCCTCCCTCACTCTATTCTCATACAAATCAACAGCCATTTTGTGTTAGTTAAAAATTCTTTTTGTGTGTGAAACAACAACCTAAAAACACGAAAAAAAATGAAGCTAGCCAAAAGAAGCCAAAGCACCCAAAATACAAAACAAAAAAAAAAAGAAAAGCGCGCCAAAAACTAAATTTGAAAGCATTTCCCAGGGAAAGAGAGTACCGTTTACAGTTGTCAACAAAACAATAGTAATGCCTTTTATATTTATCTAAAAAAATAAAATAGATTGAACTTTGTAATACAAGTTTACAAGTTAATTTTTAAAATATATTAAATTTTTAGGTCTTGAATAAATTGTTGTTCTTATTTATTCTTCTTATAAAAATACTTTTGACACTCAATGCATTTCAAATAAGAAGTTCATTAAAACTATTATTGAGTTTCACTTTCACTATTATTGACGAATTTAAATTTTTGTTGTGTTCATATTCCTTTTCAGGAATTCTTGGTATATTCGTCTCATAAATCCCAAGATTAGGTTTATAAATCTTGAGATTGATGAAAATAATATTGCAAGAATTCCTAGATTCCTAGAGTATTTTTCCTTATGCACTCATTACTATTATTTTGACCTGAGGTGTGCGTATGTGTGTGTGTTATCCACTTTGGGCAATTAAACTGGTGACACGCCGTTATTGTTGTTGTTGTTTATTAATTTGTTCATTGCATTTTAAGTGATCGCTCTCCCTGTTGCTCTTTTGTGCATTATGCTGATGGAAAGTAAACGAAGTAAGAAGTGGTTGGGTTGATTTTTGGTTTGGCTTTCGTTTTTGGCCGAATGCAGAATGCAGTATGCAATTTGATGTTTTGCGCCATTTTTCGTGGGTTGGCTGTCAAAAAGCGGCCAAAAGTATGCAACACGCTGCAGCGCGGCTTAACTGCCCAATGTCCCCAGGGGCGTAACGTCAGGGGGGGATGGGGGTGGTGGTGGGGTTGGGAGTGGTTAGTTAGAGGGCGGGGCAATGCTGCTGCAAAAGTCACTTGGCAAAAGACTGGCCGCCGTTTATGAAATTTTGAACAAAATTGAAATTACGCTAATTGTTTGGACTCGCTGTACACGCTGCTACACCCCTGATTTTTTTGTAAGTGAGGGGGGGTGGTAAAAAGAGGGGGTATTTTTGGTGCGGTGTGTGTGTGTGTTGCCTGGCCAAAGCAAAAACAATTAGCGAATTTGATGAGCAAATCCTCGTTACACGCGTGTAACAGCGACGGTGGAAAAGGGGTGCCAAAAAGGGCGGGGGGGGGTCTACATAACCCCCCTCTTGGTGCAGCTAATTAATAGACTTTTGCATGGGTGTGTGTGTGTGTGTATG